CCCAGATGTCTCTGACTTCTTCACAGGGTGGGGGTCAGGCTGGGGGGAGAGGAAGGAGTGGGGTCCCCATATTGTAGTGTTGCTCCTCCAAGACCCAGGCCCTCTCTCTCGGCCCCCTTTTACAGATTTGGGGGGGGTGCTAACTTGTCCTCCCTGTTCGTCCCCATAGAAGAGCTGCCCCCACACCCCCCTTCAGTGACCCTGTGTCTCCACTGGCCTCTGCTGGCACCGTGGCCCTCACCCTTGTGTACGTCACGTGGTCCCCTTCCTCGTGCATGCTGCCTCTTGCATGGTCTCTTGGGAGGAGAGATACGTTGCCTCCACCAGCCTGACCACCCACCCCCCCATCCACCCCCAAATGTGACCACTGCAACGTAGCCACTCCTGTCCCCACCCCTGCTCTGACGACAAACCGATCTCCGTTTCTTTTATAAACCGTCGGCTTTTCTTAACAAGCCCTCCCTGTACAGAACAGCCCCTTTATGGTTGATTTGGGGCCCCCTCCCCCCAGGCCCCTTTTTCTGTTGGTTTAGCACAAATCCTTCCCCCTCCAGCACCTCCAGACCTAACCCACAGCCAATGTAATTGTTTTATATATATTTAATCCGATTCAATGGAAACCATGCTTTGGTCGTTTTATACTTTGCTAGGTAGACTTTATTACCCCTCTACTAGACCCTCATTTTTTAAAAAAGGAAAAAAAAAAAAGAAGACATTGGGTTTCAGTCTTAATTCATCTTTCCGTGCCAGGTTTTATTTTGTGTGTGTGTGTGACTGTGTTTTGTTATTTTTGTTGTTGTTTTCTGTTGTTTGGTTTTATTTTCCCCCCTTCCAGTCCCATACTTTACAGCACTCTGGTGCAGGAAGAAGCAGAAGCAAAAAAAAATTTTAAAATTTAAAAAGAAAAAAAAAAGAAGAAACAAGACATGCCACCTTTCCCTTCGCACTGTTGCTTTTCCTGATGGTTAATACTACTGTCATGTAGCTGTGTACAAAGAGATGTGAAATACTTTCAGGCAAAAATAAACTGTAAGTGAGTCATTGATGGCTGGCCTTTCTTTGGGGCTTCATGGGGACCCGGGGGGGCAGGGGAGGCAGGCAGAGATCAAGGCCTAGGCCAAGAGTCAGAGGCCAAGCCAAGTCTTCTCTTTGTTCCCCTTTCATTTTTAATACTTTATTGAGGTGAAAGTCACATCACACAAAATTAACCATTTTAGTGTATTATTCAGTGACACTCAGTACATTCACAGTGTTGTACAACCACCACCTCTATCCAGACCCCAAACATTGTCATCACCCCAAGAGGAGACCCCATACCCATTCAGCAGTTTCTCATTTCCCCTCCCCCCAGCCTCTGGCATCCACCAATCTCTTTCTATCTCTGGATTTACCTTCTCTGGACATTCCACGTACATGGAATTGTACACTATTTTCCCTTATTGTGTCCGGTATGTAGCATGATGTAGCATGTTTTCGAGGTTCACCTATGTTGTAGCATGCATCAGGACTTCGTTCCTTTATGGCTGAGTGATGTTTTGACATGCCCTCTTGCATGTACATGGCACTTTCTAAAGAGCAGCGTCTGAGCCTCGGCACAATGAACACTTTGTGTCAGATAAGTCTTTGTTGGCGGGGGGCTATCCCCCCCACATCTAGGACGTTGAGCAGCATCCCCAGCCTCTACCCCCTGGATGCCAGTAGCACCCCCCCCACACACACACAGTTCTGACAACCAAAAATGTCTCCAGATATTGCCAACTGTTCCCTGGGGGCACAGTCACCACCACCACCACCACCCTCCCCCCACCCCCAGGAGAACCTTCACTACAGACCAAGGCCAGTTCTGTTCAGGGGTTTTGAGGAAGCTCTAGCCCTTAGCTGCTTGTTCCTGGGGGCCTCAGCATCCCTGCTGATCCACTAACTATAACCTTGCCCCCCCCCCCAAGTTAGTCCCTACCTTACCTTCTCTCCAGAATCCCACCTGAGTGTTTTCATGGTTCACACTCTACCTGTTACACCCTCACAAGCAAGCCCAGCAGCTGCTGGCGCTGATCCCATATGGGCCTATGAAAGCCCAGACACTTAGCCACAGGCAACTCCCAGAAGGAGCTAGAAAAACTTCCCAGCTGGGGGCCCAAGAATCAGCTTGCATTGCTTTGGGGAGGATCAGAGTGGTTGCTGACAGAAACACTCCTGCAGTGGTGGTGGCGGCAGTGTAAATTCGTTCAACCACTTAGGAAAGCGTCAGTATCTACTAAAGCCAAATACACACCTACCCTCTGACCCAGCACTCCCTTCCTGGGTATATGCCCAAGAGAACGGAGCACATTTGTCCACCAAAAGACACAAGAAGGTCCAGAGCAGTCTTATCCGTAATGGCCAGAAAGTGGCAACGACCCAAATGTCAACTAACAGGAGAATGAATAAACAAATTGTGGGACAGTCACAGAGTGGAACAACACAAATGTCTCCATCCGCAGGAGAATGAATAAGCAAACCGCGGCATATTCAGAGGATGGAATTCTACAGAACAAGAGAAAAAGAAACAACTGTTGATATACACAGTAGCATGAATTAATTAATTGGATAGGCATTATGTTGTGTGAAAGGATCCAGACATAAATGAGTGTTTGCTGTAGGATTCCATTTATATAAAGTTAATGAGCAGGCAGAAGTAATCGGTGATAATAGTGGTCACGGTCGTGACAACCTCTGCAAGCAGAGGTTGCTGTTGACTGGGAAGGGGCAGGATGCAACCTTCTAGGGTAATGAAAATGCTCTACATCTTGATCTGCGGTTACACAGATGTTTACAAATGTAAAATTTCATGGAGCTGTATACTTAAGAGTTGTGTGGTTTACTATATATGTTATACATCAATTTTTTCAAAAGTGGTATCAGAAAGAATTGTTTTAATAATGAGATGGCTGCTGCCCCTCTCCGCCTGCCGGGCCTGGACTGGGCTCCCCTGGGCCCAGGAGGGTGATGGGTGCCAAATGCCACCATGACTTTCTTCTGCTTGTCCATCTTTATGAAGCATTTTGGTGGTTTTTTTTAAAGTGTCCCTTCCTCAAAACACTACTGCCATCTGCTGGAAAACAGTCATCATAAATATATCAATCCCAGATGTGAATGGACTCCCTCAGACTGATGCCCTTACGCAGTGCACAGCCTGCACATCTGGGCATGGTGAGATTCATGACTCTGCTTTATCCTTCAGTGCACTCTATCCAGATCCGGGTGGGGTCCTGAGGCCCCTCATTCTTAAATTCTTTTTTTTTTTTTTTTGGTACTAAGTCTTCACAATCCAGTGTGTATTTTACACTTAAAACAGTACCTTTCAGTTCGCAGCAGCCACATTCCACGTGCTCAGTACAAGCCACATGTGGCCAGTGACACCCCAGCTCTAGAATTTCTATAAATGAGCTAAGGCTGCAGCAAAATGGTAGGAGGTGGAGCAAGGGGGCAGGGCTTGAAGCAGCACTTACCCACTAATAAAACTGGTTTTACTTCAGTGGCAAGATTATTGAGAGGCTGACGGAGAGACCAAGGTGGGGGAGACGAAACCACATCCACCCCTGAGCACTGTCCCAGCAAGCTCCAAGCAGAAAATGCTCCTATGGCAGCTCTCCTGGGGGCTCTCAGTCAGGCTGTGGTCTCCTGCAGAAGTGACTCCAGCAGGCAGGTTCAGAGGTCTAGCCCAAACTCCTGTTTGAAGAAGACCACCTTTTTTACTTTAAATTATTATTTTTTTAAAGTAAGGGTACATTCATCTACAAGAGAGAGACTTGTAGATCATAAACACGCTTTTTTTGTGGAATGAATGAAAGAAGCCCTTTTGGAGAAAGGAGAGCAGCTCTGCTGGTGGAGGAGAGGCAGGGGGAGTAGGATCAGGTACCTGACCTCCATCTAACATAATGGCTGGGCAGGGAGGCCGCAGGGCTGCTTCAAAGCTGTGTCCCTTATTAGTTGTGGAGCCACTTAAAAGCTCTGCCCCTTATTAGATGTGGATCCAGTAACTTGACCCCTCCACCGCCCTCTCCACTGCCTGTCTAAACCAGTAGTGCTCCTGCCCTACCGCCCCATAGCCTGTCATTGAGTTGATCACCCATTCATTCACTTACTGAACAAAATGTCTCAAGTGCCTACTGTGTGCCAGGCACACTGGAGACTCAGGAGTGTGACTAGTCTGAGGCAGGGCTTCCAACCAGGTGGAACCCCTACTGAGAATTTGCATTTCTAACAAGTTCCCAGGGGATGCTAATGCTGCTGGTTAGGGACCAATTCTGAGAACCACTAGTAGAACAGTGGTTCTCAAAACTTATTATACCCAAGAATCACCTAGGGATCTTGTTAAAATGTAGATTCTGATTCAGTATATCTGGGTTGGAAAGGCAAATGCTCAGCAGAGGTTCGAACCGGTACGAACTGGTTTGAAGCC